TTTGTCAGCGTCTTCACCAAATAAAACTATGTCATCAGCATATTCTAAGTCAACAAGTGAACCTCCTGGTAGAAGTTCAACCCCTGGAAATTTAGATGAGGAGAGTGTTATCTCTAAAAGTACGTCAATGACAAAGTTGAACAAGAATGGGGAGAGTGGACAGCCCTGACGAACACCACTTGAGGTGATCAATTCTGATGACAGTTCGCCATAAGCTCTCACTCTACCAGTTGTGTTTGAGTAGAGAGCCTTTATAAGGTTAATGTACTTCTTTGGTACTCCTTTCAGTGACAAACACTGCCATAGAACCTCACGATCAATAGAGTCGAATGCCGCCTTAAGGTCGAGAAATACTACCATTGTGGGGCGTCTGAATGTGTGTCTCTGTTCTAGAACCTGACGTAGTGTGAATATCTGATCGATACAACCACGTCCAGGTCGAAAACCAGCCTGGTTTTCTCTAGTCTGCTCTTCACGAGCTTTAGTTAGGCGTCGAAGTATTATTGAGGCTAATATTTTAGACACTATATTAGTCAAACTGATTCCTCTGTGATTGTCACAAGAGGACTTTTGTCCTTTCTTAAAAACTGGCACAATCAGTGATTGAGACCAGTCAGATGGGATTACGTCCAGTCCCCAAATTCTACCTAAGACCGCGGTTAATCTCATTGCTAATACTGGACCACCATCCTTAAAAATCTCAGGAGTAAACCTGTCAGGGCCTGCTGCTCTCCCTCGCTTCAGATTTCCTATGGCTTTTTCAACTTCGTAAAGGGACGGAGGACTTACATTAACTTGCCATTCAGGTTGACTGGAGATCGTGGGAAACCGAAGTGTGGCTGAAGGCCAGTTGAACTGATCCCTAAAGTGTTCTGCCCATCGATCCAATCTCCTGGATTGAGAATGAATAATATGTCCATCTTTCTCTGAGATTGTTTCGCTAACGGTCGGGTTCCTAATTCCGGTTTCCTTAACGAGTCTAAACAATTGTCTGCTATTACCTATTGCCGCTGCCTTTTCCATCTCTCTTGCTTTCGCTACCCACCACTGTTCGCGATCATTGCGTAGACTTCTTGTCGGCTTGTGCTTAAGCTGACTCCGCTCTTCATTATGTTCAGAGCCCGGTGGAATGTGTTTCCGAGCATCTATCAGCGAGATAGATGCTGCTGAGATCCAGTGTTGCTCCCTAACCTTCTGGTTTACCTTACTAGCAGATATCACTGCTGTTTCCACAGCTTTTCGGACATCATTCCATGCTGCCTCAGGGTGGGCATCACATACATGGCTGCCTAACTGTTTTCCTAGTTGTTCCTGAAATATACTCTTAGCTTGACTATCATTAAGTAGGCCCCTAAGAGGTTTCCTTGCAGCATCTTTCCTACGTCCAGTAAGACGCAAGCAAATACGCGCTCGCACTAGAGCATGATCTGAATCTAGGCATGTGCTCCAGAATGAGCGACAGTCTTCTATCGAGCTGATAGCGATGTGATCTATTTGGGTCCAACGTTGGGACGAATTAGGGGGTCGCCATGTTAAAAGATGTTTTTCCTTATGCTTAAAGTTAGTATTTGCAAGGAACAGGCGGTTATCTGAGCATAGCTGCAACAGACGGTCGCCATTATCTGTTCTTTGAGCCACGACACCATAGGATCCACCTAGGTGTCTTTCCTTATCACTTAGTTTACCTACTTGAGCATTAAAGTCACCGGCCACTATTACTACATCCGAGCGCTTAGCTTTTCGGAGAAGGTCCGAAAGCTTTCTGTAAAACTCATCTTTTACATCATCTGAGCTGCAGTCAGTGGGAGAATAGGCAGAGACGACGAAGAGGCAACGACGAGTGTCCCTATCTTTCCGGATTCTTACTGTTCCGTTCAGTCGGACAGCGCACAAACGACTGTTTACTGGGATCCACTCTAAGAGAGCTAGTTCTGCCCTAGGACTCAATGCTATACCTACGCCGGCGAGGCCACGGGAAGCACAATCAGGGCTTCCAGATACACGAAGCGTAAATCGAGTCGGTTCTTTATTTTGGCATGGTGAGGTCAAATGAATAACGCTACTTGGATCCTGTATGCGCGTTTCGGAGACGCAGCACACATCGATGGCGCGAGATTCTAAAGTTTTAGCTAAGGAAGCCTGCTGTCCTATTTGGCAAAGTGTTCGTACGTTAAAAGCTCCTACGTGTAGTTTAGAGCGTGGTTTCAGGAGACCAGGAATGGCGTTCCACGTACTCGAATCGTTTGCCCTAGCAATGCGAGGTGATGAAGAGACGTGAGGAGGGTTAGTCGGGAGGATAAGAGAGGTATTAGGAGGTGTAGAAAGGATTTGAATGTGACCACCTTGGTCTCTTGTGTTGTTACGGGTATGAGGGCTGATGTCACTTCCCGGCTGCCCACACCGTGGAAGGGTATTTCTTGAGGAACCTGAAAAGGAAATTGGATTAGTGTTGGTCTTGACGACCTGGGAGCGTGACCGCAGAGCCCAAGGGACAACTGCTTGAGGCCGGTCGCGCACGGCCTTTTCGTGGGAGGTATTTGACGTGTTAGCTCCGTTCTTCAAAGGGCCTTACCGCCGGAGACGGAAATCCGTGAGGTAAGGTGAGGTGTGCATTTTTAGGGTCGACGTTTTCTAACCCCACCCCTCCTTGTGGGAAGGCAGCATCGCTGTCATGCTGGTTGTCCGAGGGAAACACCTTACTGCTGTCACACCTCTCTACAGTCAGCAGTACGACTTCGCCCTCAGACCTTGAGTTGCTGCTTTTAGTCTTACCGTTCGCCAATCGACCTGCCTGGCATGGTAGAACCTGCAGGAACATATGTTCCAGCCAATATAGCTCGGTTGCTTCATCACGATAGGCAAGCCCGACCACCGCGTCAAGGTAGCAGCTTCGATCGGGAAAATACATATGTACGTCGAAGGCAATACATAAGCGAGCGTTAACACAAATCTAGTGGACGACCATCTCTAAACTAATCTTCTGTTCTACTTCATAAGCCTGATTTACCAATTGTCGCAGTGATCTGTCTTACTCTTTGCTGATTTAATTAAGACTTCGAGACCCATACATCGTATGTCTGATAGGATAATATTATAAGAAGGCCTGGATTCACTAGATGAATGAATAAGCGGGGATTAAAAATCAGTTCTACCAAAAGAGAATGGTGATGAAAAGAACGAACTGTGAAGTTTCATACAAATGCGCAGTAAGTGGAATGGCAATAACCGAAGCAACGGACGATAAAGATTTAGACGTTTTAACTAACAATGCACACTGAACTACGAATAAATATAAGGTTGCCGCTGCCAAAGGCTTTAGCGTCTCATTACCTTTTCGTAAGTCATTCCGATAAATAAATGTTCAGGATATGAGATGAGACTACAATTAATAGATGAATCAATCTGACCTAAGATTGTGACTCTTGGATATTGGGGCAGAATTCAGTTATTTATATGATTAAATCCCCAGTGCCGACTTATGACGCTAACGTCTGATCTCGATCACTCACATCAATTAATAATCCTACTTCGATCGTAGTAAGTGGTTGAATTCCCTCAAGGACGAAGCAATATCGCTCAAAGGTCGTTCGTAAATAATAAATTCTCAGGATATTATCAGTCAGTCAGTATGTACGAGCAATATTTCGAAGACACCTATGATCAAATACTAGTAACCTACGGATATCCTCTACTCTTACCGGCCATGTTTCACTGCCATAAAGTACGACGGAACGAACTGCTGCACAGTAAACACGTCCTTTGGTTGATAGACGGATATCTCGCCTACGCCATAAATGACGCAAGTTGGTAAAAGTTAGTCGAGCCTTCTGTATCCGTGCTGAGATTTCGTCACACACCAGACCACAAGAGCTGATGGGACTTCCAAGGTAAGTGAAGCGGTCGACACGCTCAGGATCTTATACCCAGCATTTGTAAGACTCCATTTGCTATATGACTCAGAGTCCTTATTTCAGATATGAGGCGGGTATGATAAAATGAGTCAAATGGCGAGTGACCAGAATGAAGAAAAGTTTCGCTGACCGACCTTATGAAGATAGACCTAGACGCCCCAACCTATTTCCGTTATTGCAGGTTACGACGTGGTTTAGTACCGGCTTACAGCATACAGAATGGTGATTTCGGCATTAACATATCTTGTTTTCTCTTTATATCCAGAACTGGTGGCCATCTGAGAGGACATTCGGAGACTATAATTTATGGAAGAACCAAACACGTTTAGGATAACAATTCCTGGATTTCGGCGCGAAATTCACTTACCCGTTTGACCAAATAGAATTTTGACACTTCAGGTGGTTAGTTCGTGCTGAAAACACGGAGTTTAATTTCTAACCCTAACCGTCAACCGTAAATATTAATTCCGATTCGCACTAGTTTATAACCCTTGTTTGGCCCTAGTAGGTAGATGAACGTTCTCAGGGTTACTTTAGCGTCGCTAACAGATCACCCATAAATTAGTCTCACCCCCTAACAGGACGCCTAATATATGCACCTGTCGGTACACTGAAAGTGAAGTCCGGACTTTGCAGTAGTACAAATACCGAAAATTAGTAAGGATCGCTTGACCTCTGAAGACTGAAAGCTTCCACCATATATGACTTGATGTAAAAAAAAATAGGACCCGACAAACAACCCATTCGAAGTGAACCTGACAAATGCTTAGCACAGAGTTTTGTTATCTTGAATTATTCTTGGAAGTTGCTTAAATTCAGAATTGGGATTAGACTGTGAAAATTAGACCCAAGAGCAGCTAACAGAACCAGTCGGAATCTACGCAGTCGAATTCAGGCCAACGAAACTTTGAGGCTGATACTACTTTATTCAAGGCAATCGGTATGCTTTGGAACATCAATAAGCTATATATTTCACGTATTACCAGGGAGCGTGTTGTTGAAGGTAAACTACGGAGCTATAGTAAGTCATACCTGGTAGTAAATAGCATACACCAGTCACAAGAACAAATTAAGCTAGCTTTAACTAACCTCTAGCTAGTTTTCCAGCTGGCAAAACTTGGTTGATATCGTTGTCAATATCCATAAATAACAGGATGAAGTCACTTCAGTCGGACGTCCATTATTTATGATCCGAGATTCCGCAACCCAAGGGGTAAATGTAATAGAGCAACCTCAACATATAACTTCTTTGAACTGTTAACAGTACGAAGCGACAATCACTGTACGAGCCTTGACGACTCAAACCGATAATACAAACAAATCCCGTCCACAAACATCAGAACCGAAAGCATTTTCGACCTTCACAACCCACTTGAAACAAACAAACAATTCCTTCAACTATCAGACGGTTTCTTGTTCCATCAACTTCTAATTTGAAGATGAAATCACTTATTCCAACACAAGTGTATTGTGTTGTTCTAACTGCCTCGTGTCAATGAACGACATATATTCAGTCTTCAGTTTTCAGTAATAAGGATAGGAAGTCTATTGACCTATATTAATCCTTGCAGTTTGTGATACTGTGGAGGTCCAATCTCGTTTTGAATATATTAACAGACGTGCTGATATTACGTGTTCCGGTAGATAGTTCCGGTAATTCACTACTCGGTGCGAGAAACGGAACTCCAGACGTAAACGGTTTGATCTCGGTTTTTGAACTTTCTTCGAATGTTCTCTCAAATGATCGGTTCTAGATGGAAGTAAAAGATAAGACATGTTAATACCAAGGTCATCGTTCAGTATACGATAGGCCAATATTAGATCACCCCGTATTCTACGGTAAGATAACGGAAATAAGTTAAGGTGTCTCAGTCTGTCTTCATACGATAGGCCAGATAGACCTTGTACCATCTTAGTAGCTCGTCGTTGGACTCTTTTTGGCATATCTGCTTCGTACTTTAAACAAGGACACGCTGCTTGAATACCGTATTCTAAATGTGGTTGCACATAAATCGGGTATAGTAATCTAAACCTTTCATCATCTAAATACTGGAAAGACCTACGAATTGACCATAATACCCTATAGACTTTTGCAGCAGCAGCCTCACAGTAACTAGTGGTTTTGAGATCGTTGCTTAATATGATTCCTAAATTTTTATAGTTCCTTACTTTGGGTAGCACGAATCCATGTAGTGTATAGTGATACGATTCGTCAGAGTTGTTTAACTGCATCACTACACTCTTATTGGGATTTACTTCTAGTGACCACCTGTCTAACCATGCCACCAATGAGCTAAGATCATCCTGTAACACCATTCTATCCAACTTACCATGTATGGGTTTTCAAATCTTTATGTCATCAGCGAAGAGTAGGACGGATGATTTTGCTACAGTTGGCAATTCATTTACATAAAGTAAAAAGAGAAGAGGACCTAGGATTGTACCTTGGGGAACCCCACTTTTTACAGGTACCCACGAGGAGAGAACATCATTTACCCTTATCCTGTGTCTCCTGTCATGGAGAAAGTTATTAATCCAATCTACAGCTGTATAATGGATTCCAAAACGTTTCAGTTTGAATTTAAGACCAGAGTGGAAGACCTTATCGAAGGCTTTACTTAGATCTATGAAGATCACATCCACAGGAGCATTCCGATCTTTTGCAGCAGCCCAATCTTCTCGTGCAATGACAAGATTTGTCAAGCAAGATAGGCCCTTCCGAAAACCATGTTGTGCTCCGGAGAAAAGATAGTTTATAACAGATATCCGAATGATTTTCTCCATCAGTTTTACAACTGCACTAGTTAAGCTAACGGGCCTATAGTTACTAACTAAATCCCTACTCCCAGCCTTATACACCGGACTTATTATAACGTCTTTCCAGTCTCTGAGAAGTCCAAACTGCCTTAGAGACATGTCAAACAGTATCTCTAATGGTTCAGCAATTACATCAGATATGGCTCCCATAATCCTAGGATGAATATCATCAGGACCACTGGACTTATCAGGTTTGAGACGCTGGAGTGGCCTTAAAACAGTACCTTTCTCAATGACTACAGGATCCATCAGCGAGCCGTCACGGTGGCGATGAATCGTTGGTCGTTTCTCATTACTGATAGAAAACACTTTACTAAAATATTCCGATAAAGCTTCAGCCTTTTCGGCATCATTTTCTGCCAAGATTAACGGATTTTCTTGTATCAAAAGTGATGGAATTTCATCGCTTCTTTGAATTCGCCTTTTTATATACGAGAATAACCGTTTCAGATTATATCTAGAATTCCTAACCAATTGTTTTTCGTATGATAGTCTAGTCTTGCCTAGTAACGCTTTACAGGCATTTCTAATCTTACAATAACTGGATCTGTATTGTTCTAAGCCAGTAGAGATGAACATATTCCAGTGATTCTTTCTTTTTCTAAAGAGTTTCCTGACAGTTTTAGTTATCCATGGTGGACGGTTATTCGGTCTTCGCGGTACCAGGTATGATATGAACGGGGACGTAACTAGACTAAACTTACCTTTAAATACAGACCATGCTTCTTCAACTGATAAGCCAGTATCTACAAACCAATCTGTCTTAGCAGCGCATTCCTGAATGGCTGATATTTTAGCTTTCCATACATTTGGGCGAGGTGTAACCAGATCGTATAACATGTCCCTAGTTCTAAACGCGAATGACAAAACAGCGTGATCGCTATTCATTAACGGTGGAAGAATATTTAGGTCGACAATATTATCAATCTCATGAGTGAATACCAAGTCCAACAGAGAAGAACCTTGGTTAACACCAAAACGTGTGGGTTTGGATACATGCTGCACTAATGCATGCTCCATTATTGTTATCAGGAACCTACTATCAAAGGAGTTTATAGATCCTTCTGTGATCATATCAGTCCAACTAATATCAGGTGCGTTAAAGTCTCCTATTATCAAGCATCTGGTATTTTCACTCCAAAGATGAACGTCCTCTAAAATAAAGTCATCAGCTAAGCAGATTGGGCTGCGATAGATGATACCGATCATAAATGTACTACATCCGATAGCCAACTTACAGCTAATGAATTCACAAGTACCGCTATCATGGGATTCACTAGCAGAGGAGCGGATGTTTATGCTATTGTCCATATATAATGGGACGCCACCTCCTTTTCTACATCTATGTCTATCACTCCTGAGGTAATGGTATCCGGGTAATTCAGGAGTAATGTCTACGTCATGGACTAACCAAGTTCCCGTCACTGCTACAATGTCAGGTCTATTCAATATCCAATATGTTTGGTACAAGCCTGTATGAACAGGCTGAATTCTTTCTGCCCGTTTCTCGTCGTTTCATTACGGTTTCGACTATTTTACCATGTTCAATCGTTGATGGTATAGCGCTCGTTCTAGACATTTTGTTGGTTATTTGCGGTCTTGTAAGTCTTGTTGGGTTCAAGTGGTTGTGTACGGAATAGTAGAAGCTTTCGCTTAAAGGGCTTCCGTGCCTAGTAGCAGTGGACCACCAATACCTCCAGGCAGGAACCTAAGTATATTAATGATAAAGCAGGAAAAAAGGAATTGGTAAATCATAATAAGATGTTATCTATAGTCCTTAGGAATAGGTCAAGTTGCCTCTTAAATGACTCCAGAGAAGTCCCTTTTATTAGTTCAGTCGGCAGCAAATTACTACGTTTGACAACTCTTAAGGAGTAGAAGTTTTGTCAGCAGTCCGTTCTACTATGTTGCGTCTCCACTTTCTGGATGTTACCCCTTAGGTTTGTATTGGGACTAAGCTTAAGTAGGTGTTTAAGGGGATGTACAGAAGTGCTAAGGATACTGTGTAGTCGAATTGGGATTACCAATTGTAGCGTGGCGTCGAGTTGAGATTAACTATGAACACCGCTACCAAGATATACGTGCCAAATAGATCAGAAGGCGTAAGAAGCTCGTCCCAAATGACTCCATAAAATCCCCGAGAAGCCGAATACCAGAAGGCAATTAATGGACCAAGTCGATGTTTATTTGCTGGCGATCTCGTGGCATCGAAAGGATACCGAGATCGTGCCAGGATACAATCTTGGTTACAGAACGTAACCGAATTCGCGCGAAGTTACAATCAAAGAGTAAGTAAGAGAATGGAAGCACAAAATAGCTGTCATTAGCACAGTCAAACAAAAGCACGTTAAAACAGTCACTGGTACACTTGGTTATAATAATAATTGTTTTTATTAAACCAGTCGTGTTCTCGTGATAAATGTGAGTCACTACAGGAGCCCCCCGCTAGAAAGGGTTTACACTTTCGATAAATAGCGGTTTGAATCGTGGGACTGATCGGCTGACGAGCGATTGTAGGACGGAAAGATTGGCGAACAGGAAAGCGATCGTTGATCGTCGAGTTGCCAACGAAGGTCGTTTTCGGAGAACAGTACCAGGAGCGATGTGTTGTATTGATTGCTCGAGTTGGCATGCTACACGAGAGTGGTTTGTATCCAGAATCTGAAGAGGGCGTTCGTAGGGAATGCGGACCAGGAACGCTGCAGACGAAGGACGAAACCACGTTGAGCCGATGAACCAGAAGCGACCATAACGACCAAGTTCGAGACCAAGCGTGTGCCAAGCGTTCGAAACCAATATATCGACTGAGTGCGTTGACAAGAGCATGGGTGATCAGGCCAGCTTTCGCCAAGGTTGACTGAAGTCGACGGAACCAAACGGAGATGGTCGAAGGCGTGGGCTCAGGAAACAAAAAGAAAATAAAAAAAAGAAGAGTGTAGCATGCGTGTAGTATAGGAATAATCCTACACCGTATCGGTTGTTGACTGTGCGACTAGTCGCGGAAGCGTACGGGCAACCGTACTCGGCGACCGGAACGTGAGACGGCAGTCTCGTTCGTATCGCGTGAGCCTGCAATCTCATCCGAGGTCAGAGGCGGCGTGGTCTGCTGATCTGGACGTGAGACTATCGTCTCGTCCGTAGACGGTGCAGATGACGCGTGCTGTTGACCGGGACGTGAGAATGAGGTCTCAGATGCATCTAGCGTGGGACCTGAGGATTTAAGGATCCCGCTAGGTTTAATAGGTCTAGCATTGAATCTCAGGTTACCAGATAGGGCACTGTCATCGACGTGTGCTGGTTTGAGACGATCAACGCTGACGATCTCGA